TACCTATGCCTACAGCAGATGATTTTTTTGCCGTAAAACCAAAATAGTTTCATCCATGCCGACATTCCGGTCGGTTAGCGTGAGCCCTGACTGAACTCTGCAGAAACTTCACATCGATCTTCGCATCGCGGTGTAAAACAAAATGTCGGAAAACTTTTCTTTGACGCATGCGCATTTGCATAAATGTCTACACACACACACGCGATGAAAAACAAAATGTCGGAAAACTTTTCTTTGACGCATGCGCATTTGCATAAATGTCTACACACACACATACACACTACACACAATAAAAAACATAGGAAATAGCAAGAGTGATTACAATAGTTCCTATTGCATTACATGCATAGGAACTAAAAATTAATGGTCATTTTTTAGTAGTGTACCTTTTTTGTTTTTACCATATTTATAGAGGGTGACTCTTCCAGCAAATCCTAGAAGGTGGGCTAATATTCAGAGATCCTTTTTAAATAAATGAAGTCTCTTTACAAGGCTTAGGGAGTGGAGTTTTTAAGTCAAGAGAAAAAGTCCTGCTGTGACTGGAATTGAACCCAAGACTCTGGGATTAGAAGGCAAGCATCTTAACCACTACAGTATGTGGAACTAATTTGCTGTCATGGGGGGAGGGGATAGCACCGCACCCCTGCACCTTCACCCTTGCAAGAGAGGGTGTAAAGTGGATAAAAATGGGTAGTTTTTATATGAGTAGGTCTATTGTGATAAGTGTAAGATCAAACTATAAGGATGAATGCTTGTTTCACATTATTTAATCCAGTTTCTATTGAAGTTTGACAGGGATGCTTTCAGCACACAAGACTTCAAAATCATAGTAATTTCACACATCAGCGTACTTAAGATATGTAACATTGCCGTGCTTAAAATCCATCTCCACAGAATGGACTCCGTGTAAGCCACTTAGTACATCTATTCACCGTTCTTGTCAATCAATCAATACCCGTTGTTTATGGGCCAGTACTCTCAAAGTGCTAGCACAGCTCTACCGAATCCTGACATAACACCAGATGGTTAGGTTACTCGATTGCTTAACTTTTTTTTTGCTTTTATGAATTGGAAATCATCGCTCGCTGCTAATTAAATATGCATCGATCCATATGGCAACGGGTCGTTTGACACCTGGTTTACCTTGGGCCACGTCGCCATGGTAACGCAACACAAAAATCAATGGGTTTGAGCCGGCTGGTTATTCTCTTATATGCACATTCGTTGTTTTCATTAGAAAACGTCAAATATGCATGCAGCAATGCTTATTATTAATACAGAATATTATTAATTTTCTATACGACGATAAATTTATGAGAATAATAATTATAAATTGATTGAGCCCTTGTACATAGGAAATGTGATAAGACAATAAGTGTGACTGAATAAGCCAATCGAGTTAACCAACTGATATATTTTATCTGTAGAAACAAACAATTTCAAATAAAATCCCAAATGCAAAACAAACATTCTTATCCTACAAATGCGTGAAAATGTTCCGGTGTTTACACAAAGATCGCCAGCTGTTTTTACACTCTTCTCATCGTTTCTATTAAAAGCGCTGAATACATATTAAAGTCCATGCAAGCCGTCTACTGAGCATTCATTTTTGCACAGCCTGGCTTTCAAAATCCCAAGCTTTTAACAGATTATACTTAGAGTTCGCGATCATGCACCCATCGCAGAACCTTAAGTGCTTGGAAATGGTTTCGCTCCTTCGAGCGTTTTGCAGAATGCAGAATTAATTCAATAACTTTCTTCACCGACTAGAGAATAATGAGAATAGCGACATGTTTACGCACGCACATTGAATTTTTCGCTATTACCGCAATTTTTCCAGATTTGATTGCTGCTGTTGTTCATTGCGACTGTTATTTATGGATCAATATAGTAATGTACTGGCTCTAACTGATGCATAAAATTTATTTGCATATATATATATATGTATTCTAGTTGTCATAAATAAATCCCATTTTTTATTCCCTTGTTGTTTCTGAATTTTTATTAAATGTAAAAATATCTTAAATCAAATTAATTTCATATCAATCTAAAATGATGAATGAAGAATCAATTTATATGGCACCGTAACATACATAACCAATGAAATGTGGAAACTTGGTGGAATGGAAACATAATGTAATATGATGAAAATATTATTGGAAATATAATTCAAGGCAAACGATGATAACATTTTCACAGAATAAATATGATTTACCTGGATCAATGCCATGGTCATGAGGATTCCTATCCATGCGTCCACTCAAAATACGTTCAACCAATGCCAAGTGACCTATGGTTCGAGAAACATATATATTGTTAAGGAAATATTTCAAAATGAACAACGAATATGAAAATATATCATTGCATATTGTATACATTTCTAATGCAATACCCATTTTTTTTTATCATATAAAACACATTAAAATGTTTTTTGGTTTTTTTTAAAATACATAAGAAACTAAAATATGTATCGCAATTAATTATAATTAAATGATGGATCCAATCCATAAATCAACAGCTTAATTCTACCTAGCTAACAGTTGGGTGGATGATAATTAACTGTAAAAGCATTACAGATTCTAATGTTGACCGACTTTGCTACTTAAGTTACAATTGGGATAGAATGGTCAACTTGAGTCAACAAGAGGACAATAGCTCCTTCAAAACCTATCCAATCTTTTAGCTTTACACAGGCTAGATAGTTTAAGTAAACCTGTTCAGTGAGCAAGCAACAAGGGCGGCAACCACCCGAAGTTCAGGGCTACAAATTAATAGGTTATGTTCTTGAGAATATTTGGAACAAGTATAATTTCACAATAAAATAAAGAATGTTCTTTGTTCCAGTGCAATGCGTAGGAGCATATTGCTTTTTGTTGTACAATAAGCGTATAAAAACACATCTCCTTGTTACCTTCCACACAATTAGTTGAAGTGGTTGTTAACAAAAGGCACCTATGCCAATCACTGGCTCTTATCTCTGTTGTAACAATCCATTTGACTGCTTATTCTACATTGTTTGTTGTAGGCTGCCATGGCAACTGATTTATTGGAGCCATATGAGAGGTATCTGTGATATGTTTGTTTTTCGGATATGATCGCTTATTGATGAAATTTTAAACAAATCTCAATTGTCTACAATGACTGATATATATAGCCACTTATTAAATATGACAATCGTTGGGTAGCCGTGCATATCTATGAACGTTGGTATTTGTTTGCAGAGTATCATATCCTAGTTTACCGCCAATATCTGGAACTCAAATATTCACATGTGACTGACAAGCATTAAACCAAAAATATGGTTTACAGTATTCTATTAAAAGTAGCATAGCTAGGAATCTTGAAACTGGGGGATGATTGGGGGAGGGGAAAAGATTGGGGAGGGTAAAGGCACAAAAGTGAAGTTGGGGGGACCTCAATGATTAAGAAGGTTCTCACTTGCAAAATAATGCGATTTTTAACAGTTTTAGCATGATTTTGCTTCGAACATATTCAAAGGAGGAGAGGAAAGCTTTTGGTGAGGGGAGGCATTTTTGTTTGGCTTCGCGTTTTATGTAATTTATAAATTGATAAATTTCAGGAATTTACATGATTAGCCGGGAGACATATTCAAATAAAGAGTTGGAAAGTGTTAATGGGGTGTGCGTTGCAAATTTTTTAGGGTAGGGACTTTTGTGTGATAGTGTGCCGATTGTGTGTGATAGTAACGGCCCTACCTAAAATGCAATGTGAGATTGTAGCTAAGACTCGGACTAAATAACCATTTTATTGGGTGTAAATTAAGCCAGCTTAACATAATCTTTTTCAGTGAATTAATCTGATTGAGCAACGGCCTTCCATAGCTGCCCACCTTTTGATTTAGAAGACTATTACAGAAAAAAAAAATCACTATTACATTCGCAAGGACCATTACGCTTTTATAATGAAAAAGCATGAAAAAGCGTTATTACCAGCGGTACAACAGACATAGTTGCCTTTGGAAACATTGATCAACCGTCTTATTGTCGAATTGAAAAAAGTCATTAGAATCAGGGATGAAGTCAGACTTAATGGATCTAAGTCTGCCAACACATAATGCCACAAACAATCACACTTCTTTCAAAATGAAACTCAGAAGGCCAAGCTAAGTTAGAGCTAATAAAAGGTACATAAAATTAAAAGGACTCTGGTATTCATGAGGGAATTTAATTCTGACTAGCATATCTTCTTTAGTATAGTTTTTGAAGAACACCTTGACTGCCAGACCTTTTTTTAAGCTTACTTCCTAGGTGCCAGAACAAGTACATGTACATGTACAAACATACTTTTTTTGAAATTCTATCTTGTCCTATATCATCAAAATGGTGTCTAATAAATTTGCGGGAAAATATTGGGGGAACGAGTAAACTCGTTGTCGGCACTGGAATAGCATTGTCTATTGTCTCTGCCAAGTTCGAGTTTTCTCGTCCGCTTTTTGCATGGGTTGGTATATGGTCAAAGGGCGCCCCCACTCGTGCAATCGAGTATACTGCCGGCAAGATAACACAACAAACATACAACCGTTATTGGTACGTTATCGTCTAGATGTATCTTCCCCGAATTACCAGCTGTTTAGATTGTGTTTCTATAATGTACAACAATGAAGTAATAAACGCTAGAACGTTACCCCGATTTTTGACGAGCATAGTTGTCCCTACACCCCTCGGTAATACCCTGTGGAACGAGTATACTCGTCGCTGGCAGCCAACATGTTAAACAGTGATTGTTGTGAGAAATTACTGTGAAAAAGTGTTTTTTAAATATAATTCTTTTTTTAATGCGATAATAAAACATAGTTGTTCAATGAAACAATGAATTAAGATTTTAAAAGATCAAATAAAACATAGTTCTAACTGGACGGTATATACAAATATATTTAAAATAAAGAGTAAATCTGTCTAAATTTATTTTTAGTTAGATAAATATGAAGTTTAAAAAAAAAACCCTCATGAATGTGTTCAGATATTTAAGTATGTAGAGCAAGTATAATTTGTACACAAAAAAAATCAAAATATAACAATCTAGACTATTCCTTAGTAATATCGAAACTTCACCCTGTTCCCCTTTACTTTTGAAATCCGCATTTGTCACTGTGTACTAATCAAAATAAGAGCATTCTTTTGTTCTAACATAGCTATGGACACGTATCCTCTAAGGACAGTTAGCTCCATTTTAGCTTGCGTTACTTAATCTACTTAAGAGGCCGGTATAATTACTCTTAACAATCTTTGATTAAATCAAAAGGGGTTAATATCCGCCCGGCTTCACAATTGTTTTTCCAGTTCTAATTATAAGACACCATCCAAGATAGTAAATACACAAAATTCCATCCGCTGCAATGCGAATGCCGTGATTAATTGCGGATGGAGAACGTTCCACTATCAGAGAAAATTTGCGGTCATTAAAGTACATCCATTCAACATTAGAAATATACTCCTTCCAAGAGCCAATTTATGCATGTGTATGCATAATTAGTCGCAATTACAACTTGGGTCATTACAATGGAAAAATTACCATATATTTTTTCTCTGGAGAATGTGAATTTAGTATTCAGTAACAATGTATGCTTATATAAATTATTAATAGATTCAGGTGGATAGTAGAAAACTTAAGGCCAATAAACAAAAAGAAATTGTTTCGAATCATTTTCGTAAAGGCAAGACGACAGGGATGCAGACCCAACTACTGTACGGAACTCCAATTTCATATAAGCCTAGATGTAAAATAATTATACAGATAAATATGTATAATAATAAAATATAATTTATAATTATATATCTAATAATGTTATGACTCATGTTCTGTAGGCCTATATACTGTAGTATGCTGTCACAAAATACTGTAATACTTATATGCCATTTTGTATTTTGATAATAGGAGAGGCAAAACTAGGGGAGGGAGAGCTTCGATGATCCCTCCATAAATTAAATTCAGAATATAAAATAAATACAAGAAATCTGTCATGTCCATATATGTTCAATTCACACAAATCTGTCACATTGATTGAGACTTTAAATGCATATTTATGGTTATTTGATGATACTTGGATTTTTGAATTATTTTCAAGGAAAATTTAATATTTAAATTTTTCTAATACTTTGCATAATAATTTGAAACAATCCATTTAATTAATCCAAGGTTAACATACTTTATTAGATATCAGAACAAAATTGTACAAATAACTTTCAAATTAGGTGCCTTATTACGGTAATTACTAATTAATATTACCCAATTAGAAATAATTAAACCTGCATTTAATTTATCCTAATTTACATAATTAAAGAAATTCAATCAATGCTGATGCAGGCAACCAGTCTATTCAAACATCATCGGTTATATTATGGAATTCTATTTATTCAAGCATTTTTTTCCAGAAAATATTGTTTTTATAATCATAAAATAAAATTAATAACAAACATTAGTTAAATGAAAATATTTTTATGAGATGTTAGTCTTGAAAGGTGAATGATTATAATTTTGATATGCATAATGTTATTGCCCATCAATAATTTCCTTTTATTATTATATGCATAATTTTTGTTGGATACCAAGGCCAAGTTAAAAAAAAAAGTAGTTTCTTGTCGTAATATTTTGAAAAATGGAGAATGAGGACACTTTTTTTTTTTTTTTACTCCGAAGTGGAAAATCCATGATGGTCGATGAGAAACAGATACTACTTTATCATTTTATCAAGTAGACACATTGAAAGCAAATAAAAGAAGCATCACTAGACATGATTCATACCATATGTATCCCCAACCATGAAAGATGGTGAGAGGTATTTTACTGATACAAGTTTCATACATTTCTTAAAATAAATGAAATTAAAAAGAAAAAAAAAAAAAATTGGTGAGGCAGAGAAAATGGATGTGCGAGGAGACAAGAAACTAGAATTTTTTTTTATTTGGTCTAAAATATCTTTTATTGATTTTTAGGATATAAAATTCAGGTTGTCTCCCTAATTTTTGGTAAGCACAATTAAAATAGCATTTGTTATACAAGATATTTTATTCTTCTGATATTCCTCGTGTTTTTTAAACAAGATTTATATATATTAATAAATTTATTATATGCACATATTTCTTTTTGATATTAATAGATATTTATAATATTCCTAAGTGGTTAAATATTTGTTTTTATAGAAATAATTTTAGTGGATAATAATAGAGACCTACTTGTATTTTTACTACTATTTATATATTACTTTATTAGTTAAAAGATAAATTTTTATTATTATACACAACAAATGTCATATATAAAATTCATTTACCATTGTGCTAAAAGCATAACATACATAAAAATACTTTTTACATGTATATCATAATTAGAAATAATTGTTAAAAATATGGTAGCATTCCCCCTCTAATTAAAGACCATTTTTCTGTGGTCCCAGATGAACAATTATCTTTTAAAAAAAATATTTATAGGTTATCCTTGGCACCTGTTTTATTCTCATGCCTTTTTATATTTATTCTTATAATTAAGTGTTTTAAGTGTACAATAAATGTTGATTCAACACTCATAATTTAGAAGTTTCTTCACTTGGTATGTATTTTTGATGATGTTTTAAAACTGTTGTTTTACTCTGTGAGTAAGGGTTAAATAAAAAAATAAAAAAAATAAAACAATTATTTTTCCTTATTAAAGACCAAATCTATTAAAAGACGATGAAAGCGCGGGTCCTGAAAATGGTCTTTAATCGAGAAGAGTACTTTATTTCTATTATTTTAGATTTCTAAATGCTTTCACATTTATTATCCCTTTATACAGGATTGCCAGCCACTTTGACCCAATCTTCCAATCCAATTACTTAGCCAATTATTCTACATGAATTGCTAACACCCTCAGGCAAAACACATAAAAGACAAATATTGCCTGCTAAAGTCAAAGTGTAGGACAAATAATCAGTCTGGGACTTTAGGTTCAGAAGGTCATACATACTGTGACACAGGGTTAGAGAGCAGGGTTAGAGGGCAGAGGTAATGGGGTGGTTTAATGTCCCTGTGACAAAATCCCTTGTCACAAATACAACAAGCCAAAGTCAAAGGACATTCTGAAAAATAATCAGTCAGATCTTCAGGTTTAAAGGTCATACAGACTATGATATAAGGTTAGAGAAATGGGTTAGAGGGCAGAGCTAATGGGGTGATTTAATGTCCATGGGCCCGTTCGAGCAAAAAACGCCAACCGTATTCCGTTTATTTCACCGGGTAATCGCGCTAAGCACTCAGCAGGTGGTCGACCGTTCGAGCAAGTTTTAGCTCACGGTAAATACGTGTAACGAAACTACTCCGAAAGTAAATTTCAACTTATCCCATGGTCAAGTTTACTTGCTACTGCTGCTATATAACCGGCCTACATAGGCTACACACAGCACGGCAAGGTGGAACGATAATGTAGCTCAATAACTTATAATGGCTGCTTTAAAATCTGTACGTAGGCTAGTTTATTCAAGTTTATTTCTCCGAATAATGGTAAATCTACAAATCGAACACGTAGCTATGCTACTAAATTTAGATTTCGTTGCGCATTGTGTGAGGAGGCGAAGGAGAGCTGCAACCACGCCTAGGCCGTACCTATTGAATTTCGCGCTGGGCTGTGGACAAAACATTTTGAAAAACAATTAAGGTTGATTTATCATCACCTCCGGCTCCATGGTCATTCCATACACGGTATTCTACCCAGCAATTTGGTGGTCAAAATTGTCGCGGATAATCCAGATGGTAAGGTAATTAGACTAGTGTCTGAGCTGTTTTAGAAAGTGTGTACAGTGAATTAACTGGTAAATCGCACAGATATTTTTTCGCGCGAACGGGCCCCATGTGACAAATGCCCATGTCACAAAATATTACCAGCCAAAAGTCAAAGGGCATTGACAAATAGTCATTCAGAGCTTCAGGTTAAAGTCACATAAAATACAGGGTTAGAGGGCAGAGCATTCAAGAGCAGGGTTAATGGGATGTTTTAATGTCACTGTGACATGTCTGTCACAAACAGATATATTAACACTCAAGTTCAAAACTAACACTATTTCATTTCAAGTTTAAACATGTTCATTACACCATTTCATTACCTTTGGGTGGTTAAAATGCGCCCCCACTCCCAAAATATTGTAAAATTGTATAAAAATTGGTTTAATTTTATTGTTTTTTAAAGAAAATTCATTTCCAGCTACAATTCTATTGTAGCTGGAAATATGTATCGGTCTGCTAAAGCAGATTCTAACCAACAGCCAAAGCAGATTCTAACTAACAGCCTTCTAGTTTTTGTTGGGTGCTTTTTGAAAATTCAAGATATTGACAAAATTATGGAGACCACGAGATTACAAGAAAATCTGTAAAACTCTTGTCCCAATCAAAATCGAAAAGAGAGTACTGGATCATTTGTATTTGTTAAATATAACAAATACAAATATATATAGTTA